TTGATGAAGAACGATTACGACTATACTTCTGGACTTTCCAAATGATGCACTCAAAGACTTCTCCTAAAATAAAAATAATAAATAGTTCAACTGAAGGATATTCTGATGCAAATATATATTTTATATTAGTTTATGTTTTTGTTCTGCAATGTTGAGTACTCTTCGGATCATTGAATGAAGTTAAAATAATTACTCTTTGATAAAATGACGCTTGATGATATTTCGACGATAAATTAAGAATAATTAGTTAAATTTTCACTATCATCGACAGTTTTTATTTAGCAGTACTTTAGAGGACGAGTGTTGATGTTCGTATAGAAATAACCTACACTTACACCTGCCCTCATTCAAAACACTACATTAATAAGATAACATAGATGTCACGAAACTGAACAACATATAAATATACGAGATAAATGATTTAAAAGTATCCAATCAAATAATTTTAAAGGATCAATGATGAATGAACAATAATTCATCTATATTATTTACCAAAATTCATTATGATTAATTTCGTTCGACTTGAGAATTGATCGATTTAGCATTTCGAAGAAATGGATGAATTCGATTAGTTTGGGACAGTTGAAATTGTTCTGTTGCTTGAGAATGATTCATCCATCGTCTTGGAACGACCAATGCAAACAGTTCACGACGAAAACTTGGTGCTGTCAACGTGTAAACATAAAATGTTAACTAAAATCGCAGATTTTAAAATAGAAATCTATGCGCAATAGAAATTCTTACTGCATTAAATATAAAGGTACCAAAACTGCCTGTTGCTGTTATAGCTAAAGATTCTGCTGCAATACGATATGATGATTTACTTGATGATGGAACGTACTGTGTTATTGTCAAATAAACAAAATTGCTAACAAATGGAAGTGCCGTTGTAATGTATAAAATCACTTGGCCTATAAGCATAGTTGAGAGTTGAAGGTCTCTTTTACGTACATGAACCTAGATTACAAAAAAGAATAAAGTATATTTCAAGTGATAATATTTGACTTTTTCAACCACAAAAAAAACCGTCTGAAAGATTATGTGAAAATAGTTTAATCTTTATCAAATGATGTGTCTAGAGAGTTATCAAGGTTTGAATAACCAACTACTCAAAAGACTATTGTAGAGATGAACAAAAGTAAAACCATATAGAATACTTACTTTTTGACGACCAATCCGTTTTGCGTTCTGCTTTAATCGCCATATAATCATTCCACTTAATGTACTCATTAACAAAGCTGGAGTTCCAAAATTGAATAAGAATAAAACTGTAGTATCAATTATTCTTCCTACTGCCGAACTAGGACTACACTGACGTTGTTGAGGAAATGCATCATAAACTATTAATACGTAGATTGATAAACAAGCACAACCGACAATAGTTAGTAACATAACTTTAATTGCTACACTTGGTCGACAGAATAATCGTTGTTGAGCTGATTGTGAGCACAATAAAAAACGATCTAGACATGCTAAGACAACACATGCTCGACTTGCCAATTGAGAACCGGTAAGTATATAATAACGAATTTTACAATATGCCGAATTATATGTTAGTGGATTATTGTTGGTAAATGAAGCAAGCATACTAATAAACAGACCCCATGTTAAACAAAATAAATTAGCCCATGAACTTGCATGAAAATAAATAGCACATGAATTTATGCGCATTGAAGGACGAAGAAAAATTGCAATATTTGATATACATCCAATCATACCAAGTGTAAAAAGAATTGGTTGACCAATATGTTGTATCCCAATACGAGCAGCAGTTAGTATAGCTACAGCTGGATCGATGGTTGTTGTCGATATATTGTTATCCATATTAAATTTAATTTATTATCGTACAGATTGAATCTAGCAAAGAAATATCAATGAATATTTGACATAGTTATTAAAAAACTAGATCAGTGTATAAAGAGTATAACTGAACTAAAAATCATCTGATAAGAGTGTACTTGATGTAAATTTTACATCCTTACATATATCGGATTTGATTTTTAGATTAAATTGAATATTTGCATTATTATGTAAATAATTACAAGAAAATAGGACAATATATTTTACCTGGTCTAATATTTGGCACTATATTGAAATGATGTTGAATGGTAACAATAATATTTTGAAGAAAAAGGAAATTAAAGACTACCACGCAAAATGACAAGTATGACTAGATTGGAAGGAAGGAAGGAATACTCGTATCGTTGCTAGTGTAGGGTGAAGACCAAAAAAATATATGTAAAAAGAAGAAGCAGATTAAAATAATGATTAATTATATATATCTCGTAGGACAGATTGAAATCCAGTTCTGTTTTAAATTGAACTAGGGCAGATTGAAATTTTAATTTTTTCTAGTTGAGATCAAAATTTTGAAGTCAACTAGTTGATATTGAAATGCATTGCGAAGTGAACTAGTTGACTTTAAAATTTTGATCTCAACTAGAAAAAATTAAAATTTTAGCCTGAACTATTCATAGTGGACTAGTTCATAATGAAATATTTTGATCTTAACTAGTTCAGATTGAAACATTAACATAAGAACAAATGAGATTTCTAACACAGGAACAGTAATCTTGAACGAAGAAAAAGGAAAAAACTTAATTAACAATTTTCACATTTGAAACTGTTACCACCATGACATTTAGAACAATATTTTTGATCTTTTTTCTTGCATTGACATCGATTCGTGCTACAATCACCATTACATTTACATGTATCAGCAGATTTAAAATTAGTGTAAATCTGGCACGCTTGTATGAAGCTAATAGATGACAATGAATCGGTGTTGAGAATTCGTGTGTGTGTGTGGATAATCTCTTCAAACACCCAGACCCCAATGATCGAGGCCATCATCTTCATCTATAATTAGCACGAACACTATGGCAATTAGTGTTTCTGTTCCTCGTTCGCTGCACAAACTATCAAACTCTGGTCGTCCATCAACTCCTCTAACCGAACAACAACAAGAGACTACTCGATGATTTTAATTTAACAGAAGAGTAATCTTAATATGATCATTTTTTTTAGATTTCATATTCATTCTCTTTTGGCCGAACGAATCTATCCTACCATCAAAAAAACTCTTGTCTGTATTCTGGCCGAAGATTCTAATTTTCCTATTCAGGCAACAACATCTCTGTGGCGTTAGGTGATAAAAATTTGATTTATATACAAGCGAATATCGAAAGTCGTTGTACCACTCGATATCCCATCATTTATGGCTGCGCGTGCGCTCTACTTTGCTGCTATTGATGAACTGCGCAACAATGACTCTAAGATTCTTTGGTAGCATGAAACATAGTGCAACAAAAATGAAGAGAGACGCTTTGTATGGACTGATGGAACAACAGGTATAGGTCGAATGCGACATAGTCAAAATAAGGGTATTCATTATTTCTCGTATATTTCAACTGATAACCTATGATTATAGAAAAACGACTAGCGATTTCTGCTCTTCTAAACGAATCGAATTTTCACAAGGAAACAATCGATATATTCGAATGTGATGAGAATCATAGTATGGACTTGAAACACTTTCTGACCTGGATTGATCAAACAGCTTCTCTTTCGAGAGAACAGTTGGGTAATATAATTTCTAACATTTCACTATGAATATTACCGTTGACATGCCTAGATCGACATGTCAAGATTGTTTTGATTATTGATAATACGACTTGGCATAATCAACTTACTGAAGGCACTATTCCTCCGAAGAGAGCATGGCGAAAAGATCTTGTCGTACAATGGTTAATAAATCATAATATCAGAGTTCCTTTTAAAGCCACTAAAGCCGGGTTACTTGTGCTCGCTTTCGATCATCTACCACAAAAAGCGTTACGTGATCGATGAAGCAGCCAGAAAATATTATGGCGATATTTTACGGTTAGTTGAACTCCTTCAAAACTATTTTTTATATTGATGAATGTATTTTCATAGCTTGCTGGTCAAGCGTTGCATGCTCAATCCTATTGAATTAGCATGGGCTGGTTTGAAAAACTATGTTCGTGACAAAAATGTTAACTTTAGTCTTAGTGACGTTAGACCTTTGGTCTACCAATGGATGACGTCTTCAAGTAGAGCAACCGCTATGGGATATATTAATGAAACATGCAAGATCGAAGACATGTTCAAGAAGTCTGATCGATTCATCGAAGAAGTTGATTCGGTAGCAAAAGAAGTGAATGATTAACAATATGTGTTGCTTCTCCTTTTTCCTTTCTTAGTCGTCATTAAAAGAATAAAAATTAGGATATTACCCTTCTGATCATAAGTATTTGTGAAATATGATGTATTTATTTCAAGTTAACAGTGTAATAACATATGAAAGTAATATCGTACAATCGTTAGTAATAGTATTTTGATAAAAAAAATGTTGCCTATATTAAAAAAACATTGTCAATTGATTCGTCATTATCGAAAATACCAGTGATGATAATTTGAAAAGTATTTTATACAAGGTAAAATTCACAAAAACTCGATCCAAACCCCGTTAGTATATTGCTCATAACCTTTAAGCGAATCAAGATACAAATTTCGACCTTTTCGTAGATTTGTAGAGCTTGAGTTGGCGGATCTAGTTCATTTCTCAAAGTTTAAAATTAATTCTATCTTCATAGAACAATAGACTACTCTTTCAAGGGAACCATGGATCACTAGTTATTAATGAAATGAATCTCAACAATTTTATATAGATAGATGCGCTAGATATGTCTCTTTCCAATGATGAAAACTGCAGTTTTCTATCTTGTACCTATCAAAAGTTATTCGAAAAATACTCACCCACGTTCTTTTTTGGAATGGGCAGTAGTATTTTAAAGATTTCTAATCCAAGCTTTAGGTTAAAAAAAAATGAAAATAATATATTCTTACTCAGTTTGACGAGCTCTATCTAACGATATACAATTCGATTAAAACTATTTTCTACTACTATATTTCGCTTTCGGTTAGCTTTACAAAAAATTATGTTTAAGCGATAGAATTTAAAAAAATATCGTAACAATCTATTCATCAATCTCATTGTTGTTGTTAGTCATTTGAGAAGATCGAGGTTCCACGAGCTCTTGGAGTTCATCATTTGCTGCATACTGTTTCCAACTGAAAATCCAATGATGAGCAATTGAAAAGAAGACCATTTCAACACAGATCAATCCATTTGATAATAAAATTTTCTCTTCCTCAGCTGTAAATCCTGTTGTTGAGCCATGACAATATTTATTAGCTTCCGGATCACATAGAGTATTTCGAAGTACACCAACGGCTGCAAGACCACTCATTAGAACTGACTGCCAAAAGATGAAGAAAACAAGAAGTTTTATCGTAATAAACTTTGCAAGTGGTTGAAATGGTTTTAATTCATCTTTCAAATTACTGTAGAATGTTACTAAAGAGTACAAAGCTAATATTTGACTAATATTAATTATAATTGTAATATATGGATAACCTCGATTAACTTTCCATAGACCATTACCATAAACATTTGTTAAATTCAAAATAACAGCTATACCTAAACATATTGGCGTAATCCATGAATATTGTAAAAGGCCAACTTTAAAATACCATACCCATTTTACATTTGGTAATGGTTTACAACAATATCCAAATGGAAATGCCAAATGAATACTTTCTTTACGTGCGATCGCTTCTTCTACACCTCGATGACCACCAAGATATTTTGTTAGTAAAATTAGAAAACAATAAATAATATACGCTTCATAACATGCTTGAAAAAATTCCATATAAATAGCTGATTCGAAAAAGAATAGAGATATCCAAGAGGTTATAGCATATACAGGTACCATTGCCAATATTCGCATGATTCGCTTTTGAGCAGCTTTATCAGATTTATGAACAAAATGTTGAATAATTTGAACCAGACTCATTATTATTGAAACAAAAGCAAAAATACCGCTAATAATACATATGAGTCGTTTTTCATGGACAGGATCTTTGTATTTCTCCCATTTGATTGGATGATTTGTTGCCCATAGAATGATCAAAGCAATAGGACAAGCACAAATAACAAATATACCCCACGTTATTTCGTTTGTAATAATTGACAAGACTTTTTCACGAGGAGTAAGTTTGCGCCATGATCTAGTCATTTTTCAATTGGTAAAATATCAATCACTTATTAATCGACAATATTCTGAAAAATACAACGAGAGAAATCAATAGATTTACTATTCAAATGAGTAAGATTCTTTCATATTATAGGTATTATCACGGAAGAAAAAAATTAGATCCCCACCACGTGGATACGTATTAAATTGTATGTTGAGATGCTTTTTTGTCGTATTCTCCTACTAATGTTCTTTGTTGTGTTCGACTAACACCGTTACATTTGTCGTTGGTTCTTTTTCGCTCTTTCTTTCTCTATTGGAAAAAAAACCTAATCAACAGAAATTAGTAATGTTGTTTACACATGACGACTGACGAATGAACTAGAAGTCTGACGAACAAATAGTTATAATTGCCTGCTACTTGCTATTAGGACGTCATCACAAGATTAGTCACAATGCAAGAATTAAAAAAACGTGGATATCTCTCTTGACACACCGATACAATGTAAACAAAACGACGTTTTCATCAATATAGATTAAAGATAAAAGTGAACCATTGGATTAATTATAATGGTGTGCAATTGTAAAATTCAATGTCACCGCGTGAATTAAAAAGGTTTCTTTTTGAAAAAGTGACGATTTTTTTAAAACAAAATTTGACCAAGCGTTTCAGGATCGATGAATCCGAATCTATCATCAATTTCTCAAAACTGTGTAAATCCATCGAGACACTACAAGATCTTGGGTCTTCTGTTGTGTTCCTATAAAAAGGCATATTTTATTCAAGTCTTTTTTTGCTGATTATGTTGTTACGAAACGTTTTTTTTTCATTTTTCTACACAAGTTAGATAAGGATAAAAATGAAAAAACAGTGACAAAAAATGCTTTTCATGTAAAGCATTAAAATAGTTATTTTTTGACTAGTAGTCAAGGTGTTTGTATTGTTACTTAATAAGGTTAGATATATTCGGATCAAATTACAGTTCTCATCATTAAACTAAGAAATTTAAAATATAGATTTGTGTTGCCATGTTTCGATCGAGATAGTTGAATATATGTGAAGTTATTCCAATCGGAAAAATTATTCCTTCTATTGAATAATAGCCAAGGAAGAATGCAGTCGATACACATACTCGGTTTATTGCAAAGAATTAGTCACGATATATAAGTGTATGAACAGTACGATGGATATGGTAGTATCCTAGAGCGTTTGGGAAGAACATCTAGAAGATAGAGAGAATCACTCCTAAGATAGAAAGAGGATAATACATATATGTAGAGAAAGAAAATCATAACATATAGAAGAACTCGCAAAATTAAAGATGATAAAAATTAATTATGATACTTCTTAATATAGAGCTGGTCGCATTGTATAAGAAAAAGTATGTTTCAAATTCAAAAACAAATATTTTACAAAGAAATTCAAGATAACATAATTTTCGGATACATGAGAAAATAGACCCAGAAATCTGATTTTCATAATAATTGTTTTGAATGTGAAACATTTTTTTTTCTTATAGTATAATTCGACGAGCTCTAGCCACACTATGATAAAAAAAAACAAAAATTCTGGTTGAATTTTGATTTGTGAGTACATTTCTTCGTACAGCAAACATATTTTATTTAAAAGAGAGCATCAAACAGATTACTTTATTTTTCAGCGAACTGCTGTAATCTATGAGTGACGTCAAGGTATGTGTTACGTGTTACTTCTCAACATAAAATTTAATAATGAAATTTATATTCTCAATGCTATTCCAAATAAATTGAAAAAACTTGAAATCGTGTTCATATAACTCAGAGATATGAAAGAAGAGATATAGATTGCACTAGTAAATGACACAAATAATTTATTGGAAAGAAAATTTCTCAAACATCTAAATTGCTTAAAAATCAGAGAATCGATTTTTTTATTCTTAAAATAATATTCCAGTGATCGTTCGAGTATAAACAGATATAATAATATCTCAAGATAAAAATTTATTCTGACTAAAAGTTAAGAATATTGTACCTCATTAGTAGAAAAACGTGTAAAAGACTAAAAATCTCGATTATTCATTCATTGAAAAGATATATCTTATTTGTTAAACTATCATTTGAAGAAATCTTTGAATGAAACTTGAGAACAACTTAATGAAAAAAAAATTGAGTTAGATTCAAACGTTAATATAACAACTGGGAATACATTTCTCTCTGTAAAATTACAAGTATGTATATTACTGATCTCTCTTTCGACATAATTAGAGTAATGCAAAGTTCAAAAAAATATATCCAATCAAATATTTAATAGATTTAGATATGTATCTAAAAATTGATAACAGACGAGACATCTTTGACGCTTCTTACATTTTCATATATGGTAAACAAAAATGAAATATACTATCTGTAAAAGAAAAAAAAGATGATGCTATTTTCACCTACAGATATTCGATTTTCAAGGAAAAAATTTCGAATATGATAAAATAGGACTGGAAGAATGATTTTGTTGAGTAGTTCTATTTAATTTTTGTTGAAGTGCATTACGACCTTCAATCATAATATCCAATTCATTGAATAGTTGTTAATGATATTTTTTAAGTCTTTCGTACAAAAAGAATATCCTGTTCCTTTTTGGCATATAGAACATCGATTAGTTGTTTCCATTTTGATAAATATTCTATAAGGAAATATTGTTCATCAATTATAAGAAAAAGTAAATATATAGAAATATTGCAATCTAGCAAATAAACAAAATAAGAATGATGACAGATCAAAAGAGACTTTATCAATACAATTTTGTTCTGAAGACAAAATAAATAAAGATATTTATCTGGATTATTTTTACTGATTTTATGTCAAATCATAATAGTTTAAAAGATAACTTTCCGCTTAAAAACTGGTTTCGCACCAAGTGTACTCGTGTTGCTTGAAATGCTGAGAATATATTGAAATTGTGATAAAGAGTTTATAGTAAAATTTACAGCTCTATACTGCGATGTTTCAGAGAGATATTCATCAGGTAAGACCCAAAAAGAACTCATTTGGAAACCTAAAATTCTCTTTTGATAAGAGCTCGTCTTCTGAGACTTGACAATAGCTACTCTAATAGTAATAATCAATTATGTCTAAATTCTTATACAATCATCCTCAAGATGCTCTGAAAAATGTCAAAGATGTATTACTTGCTGAGTGTAAATAGGCGAAAAAAAGTATCTCATATTTTCGAAGCGATTATCAAAACAGATGAGAAAAAATTATCAACGATCTTATAACTATGGATCGAGTCTGGGTGCAAAATTTCGAATTCAATCAGGGCTACTGTTGATCCTCATTTTATATATAACTTGTTTGTTTTTATTTATAAGAGTATACCACTATACAGGACATGACAAAGACCTTTTTTTTCTTCAATTCTTACTTTTTGAGTGGAGAAATGGGATGAGAAATTCAATGTTCCGACAAACTCTCAAAAAAAGGGCACTTTAATTATAAAAGTGCTCTTTTAAATAATAGTAGAAAACGAACTCTGTCATACCCGCATTTTGATATGTTCTTTCAGACAAAAAAAAGATTACATTTATAGAATTAAGGATCCATACTGAATTCTCAGTTGGACGATCAAAAACAGGAAAAAAAACAAAAAATATTTCTTGCTTTTTCTAGAATTAGCATGTTTATCAAGACGATGATCACAGACATCATCGAAAATTTTGACAAAAAAAGGGCCACCGAATAAATAATCATGTCATTGTTTCGAGGAACGATGGTCTTAATAGAAGGAATTCTCTATCTTTTCATTGTGGAAAAATACGTAACGATCATCGTCAACTTGTTTCTCATACTGTTATGATCTTGATAATTTAACAAGACATAGACTAGAAACATATAAAACAATTTGCATAGACAATATTTAAAAAAAAATTTCTATAAAAATCTCGAGGTCAATTTTTCATATTAATTCTACTTTAAGTTCTAGAGTGCAATATCTATAAAATATACCAATCGTATGAGAAAAAATTTTCAAAGTTCTGAATTAGATTTTTAATATTTTAGAGGTACTTACTTTAAATTAGATGAAACTTTGTAATTGCAGTGTGGGTCATGTTTTTAATTCATTCCACACCCACTCCCAAATCAAGGATATTTTAGATGATTAGTTGGTTCCGCACCAAAAACAGTTCAGAAACGACTGCAATAGTGGGAAAATATCTGGAAGATTAAATTATTGCAGTTTTGTCATCGAGACTAAAAATATTAACAATGATATCTCCGTTGAGCTCAGCATTCAGAAGATGCAGTTTTGACCCTCTTTCATGGACTTTCATATATTATATATTAGACGAAAAAGCCTTTTCTCCAATCGACTATGCTAAAGTTGGATGGTCATTTCACAGAGACTCTATTAAATAAAAATCAAAAACTTTTCACTTGACTATGATGACCTTACTTTCAATTACGAGACTAGTCACATTTCTTCAAAGGAAAAAAGTCGGCAAGAGAACACACCGGTTCTCTCTGATAGATGTAGCGAATGTTTTTTGGCAATTCGTGGCTGCTTGTGATGAATATAGTCTGCTTTGTATATCCTAGCACCATTTCTTCTTGTTATATATTGAATTCGACTGAAATATGGATGTATTTGTCCAATCGTGTCAATATCGACGTTTTGACTGCTGTTCTTCCACGATTTGCACACCTGACAATGAAATCGACGTAGACGAGATAATCGATTTATAATTAAGTTAGTTAGATGAACAAACGACACATCGTACAGTACAAGATCGATTCGTTCTATATTTGACCAACAGCGAAAAAGAAAATCAAAATTGTCCAATGACAGATAGCTTGCATTGTCCGAGAGACCCACTCGTTTGAGAGAAGGATGGTAAACTCGATGATCTGAAGAACAAGGAAGATCAATCTTACAAATGTTTGAGCAGATTTCTACTTCGAATCGGATAAGATTAGGACATGAAGCAGAAATTAAGAGAAGAAGGATCGGATCGCTACAGATGACACGTACAGAATGCAGATTCGATGACTGAAACCACGAACGGCCGTATGCATATTGGATTGAACCTAAATTAACATGACGAAGGGAAGAAAACCAATTGAAGAACACTTGATAAGCAAGATAACTGAAAGATTCAGCTGCTGATGCTGATAAAAGTGAGAGAAAGATCAAATTGGGCTTTGGTTCTCGAGCAAGATGATTCGATTGGGACCAAGTAGTCTGTTTCAATATCAACGAGCGTAGATTGGGAAAGTAGCTCCAATCAATATCAACTTTAGTGTCAACAGTTAATCGAACGATTTGGTGAGCGAATGGGACGATAGTTGAAAGTTTGTTGCTTTCAATGATCACAGATAAATGATGCAATGGTCGAAGAAGAGCATCGAAACGTTTATTAAGTCCTCGAAATCCTTTACATAAATCTCGAATATCGATATATTTGTGTATTTACAGTAATAATTCATTTGAGAACTGTTCGAATAGAGTGAACATATCTACCAAAGACAAAAGAAATGAAGAATAGTATTTATTACCTCGATGATACACGTCAAGTTTCTTTTTCTTTCAGATAAAATGCACACGTAGAGGCTTCATTGATCGCCATTGTTGCTCTCTACAAATTATCCTTTCATGCAGCATTTACAAGTAACTAGTGATGAAATATCGTCTTGGAAAATGATCAAATGTTAGATAAACGACTGGACGAAAGAAAAACTCTCTGACGCGTTGTTCTTATACATAAATCGAGAGAGATAGATAAAAAATAGTGATTCTTTTGAAAGACACCTGAAACACAAACCGAGATAAAATTGTTGCGTGGATATCAGATTACGATGGAAACAGACGAATATTTTCATAAAAGATATACAATTCATCGTATGATTGATGCTGTTTGTAAGAATTCAATACATTTTTTTTTCGTTTCTTTTTAGATCTGTGAGTTGTCGGGTATAATGCGGATTACAACAATAAAAGTGAGGGTGTGCGAGTGGGTGGGCATTTGAGTGAATTTCAGTGTTAGTGTTGGTGAAGAGGAGACCCACAGCTGCACTCTTTCACATCCCACACACCCACACCCACGTAATAGAAATATTTATTAATTAAAAAAACTTTCGTAAATTTAAATTAATAATGCTAGTATACAGAAAGAATTCGTCGATAAAAGTATCAGAATCGATGTTTTGTTTTTACAAAAAAAGAAAATAATACTACCAATATTTGAATATAGTTGAGATAGATCAAATCAGAAGGATGTAAAGATTGAAAGTTTTCGAAATTCGAAATTTCAATAGTTCGATCATTGTAAAAACACAATTCTTTCTCGGAAACAAAAAAATGAAAATAAATCAAAGTATTAACACGTTGACTGTCCCCATGAGAAAAAATAGTACTTGTTCTACGTCCACTTTTTATTTTCTTTTTTAATTTTAAAATATATTATTTTTTGGAGTGTATTACGTTTATATAACACAAAGATAAGTATTAAACATATCTTCAATGTTTTTTTTCATGCAACACATATGATTCAACTGTCGCTCTTAGATCAAGTGCTTCTTTTATTTTCTCTGGGCATCTTTCTCGCCAAAATAATCTATTTTGTACCGTTTATCGATACTTGATTTAGCTCGACTGTAAAGAAATGATTGATCTGTTAGATCAATACTGAACTAACTTTATTGGGGAAATGGTGATTATATATATAAACGAGTTAGGAAATACCAAACACTCCAGAAATAAAATATGACGAAGAGGATAATATGCCTGAACAACATAAAGAGAAGGGAAATGTCCAAGTGAAGAAAAGAAGAGAAAAGAAGAAAAAAAAAAGATATTTTGTGCATATTATGTCGTGCTTGTCTTCTGTACGGCATCGTAGAAGCGAAGAAAGAAAGAAAAAAGATATATAAATGAGTCCACTATAATAGCGACGAAAGCGAGTGCAGTTTTTCTATTTTACTTATTTCGTGGTGATTTATACATATTGACAAGTAAGTATTAAAAAGTGAAATATTTTCTTGTAGCACATTTTAAATGTAATAATTATTTAGAGAAGAATGGCTTCTTCGAGAAAACCTCTTACTGAAGAAAGACTACCAGAATATGCAGAAGATACAATGGATGAAAGTAGTTATGACAGTAGTCAGGATTTAAGTTTTGAATTAACGGATGGCGAAAGTGAAAGTGAATTTTCGGATGACTCTGAATTTGAACCATACATAGAGAACACAGAAACTGAACTTACATTCGAAACAGAAAATGATTGCATTATGGATACGGATACTTCTAATCTGCATTGGATTTCTAAAGTTGAAAATTTAAGTAGATTAGTGTTTATCGGAAGTGAAGGTATACAGTTTCAATTTACTGCTACCGGTCCCGAAGGAAAAATTACACCATCTGATATATTTTTTACTATAATTGATGATAATATTATACAATTAATGGTAACAGAAACAAATCGTTACGCCAATTGTATGAGAAATTCTAAGAAATTTACACAATCAAGTAGAATAAATAGATGGAAAGATATAGACAGCAGCACAATGAAAAAATTTTTTGGAATTATACTATTTATGGGTTTAGTAAGATATCCAAAAATTGAATACTACTGGAAGAAAAATGATATTTATTATCATCCATTATTGCATAAGATTGACATGAGTTACAACAGATTCTCTGCAATATTACGATGTTGGCATTTTGTTGATAATTCTCTTCCTAGAGAAGACACAAACCGTTTATTTAAAATAAATCCGCTGATCAATCTTGTAATGGAAAATATTAGAAAATTATACATTCCAGGTGATACAGTTGTTATAGATGAGACTATGATCTTATTTCGTGGAAGACTGAAATTTAGGCAGTACAATCCTTCAAAAACGCATAAGTATGGAATAAAAGTATACAAACTATGTACTCCAAACGGATTTGTTTGGTCATTCCAAGTTTACTCTGGACAGGATCCACGTACAGATGGACTAGACAAGCCTGGTTCGATTGTCATTAATTTGGGAAAAGAACTTCTAAATGAAGGAAGACTTTTTATAACAGATAACTTCTATACAAGCATTCCTTTGGCGTTGTATTTAAAAGAACATAATACTGATCTATGTGGAACATTGAGAAAAAATCGAAAGAATATTCCAAAAGAAATAATAAATTACCAATTAAAAAAAGGTGAAGTAATAGCCAAGCAAGCATGCAATATAACGGTAATCAAATGGTGCGATAAACGAGATGTTTTAATGTTATCGACGTGTCATGGGGACGATCTCATTGAAACTAAAAAAGACAGAGCTGGAAATCCGGTAATGAAACCAAAAATAATTCAAGACTACAACAAAGGAAAGCAAGGGATTGACTTGTCTGATCAGATGAGCAGCTATTATACTTCACTAAGAAAATCATTCACATGGTATAAAAAATTAGCTGTAGAATTAATTTTTGGTACTGTATTAGTAAATAGTAGTATTATATACAATGAATTATATCCAGAAAAACCTTTACGACAATTACAATTCGTTGAACATTTAATTGATTATTTGGTAGTACAACAACATCTTGAAACTTCTACTGATAAAAATACCAATAAAACTCATCAATTACAAGAAATTCCAAGAAAAGAGAATGGGATTATAAGCAGGAAAAGATGTTATGAATGTTATCAAAAAATAAGGGAATCGTATAGTGCTTCTTATGCAAGAAAAAAATGCAAACAAGTCTCAACAGAATGTAGACAATGCAAGAAACCATTCTGTTTATCTTGCTTTAATGAGTGTCACTAAACATCATTACTGGAACTTGTGACTATTCTTTTATTTTCATTTAAATTGGTAAAAAAGAAAAGTTTGTTTTATGTTGAAACACTTTTTTGTAATAAAAACATCTGAAATTGAGCATTCACTTTTTTTCTCAAATAAAAGCAAAGCGCTATGTTTTTTAGGACTTTATTATGTTCAGTGCATCATATGTAATTCAACCATGAACTAGAATACTTCCTTACATCGTACCGATACGTCCCAATAGTTGAAATGCAGTCAGTTAGTTACGTCTAACAAATTCTAGCTTCAAATATCATATGCTGCGCATGCATCATATGTGATGCACGGGACGTCTCAGTCCAAAGTATCGTGCATCACATATGATGCACCGGACAGTCAACGTGTTAATCTCACCTGATTCCTTGTTTGTTCGATGAATAATTCAAATTCATTCAATTGTTGTTTGGTATTGAATTTTTCTGTTAATTCTTGAATAAATGAAGTAAAATTATAATGTCCAAAATTTTTCAATAAATATTTCCATTTTGAATGTACATATGACCAACAATCATTAATACCTATTAAATTTCGACAAATTAGTCTTATTCCAGAAAGAATATCGTTTTGTTGAATAATATTTAAGTTAGAATTAAAATGAATTTCAAGTAAATATCGAATTAATTGAATGTCATGTGTACATGTAAGAGCCGATTGTAACCGTGAAATTTCTTCTGTATCATTTGTTATTTGATATTGATGAAATAGACATTGAAATAGAGTTCGACTACCTAAACGCATATTTGTACAATAGACAATTTCTCGATAATTTATTTCAATTGTATTATTCGATGGATGATTGAAACATTCTTGAAAGAGTTGTTGAGCATAATCAGTACAACTCTTCGAACTATATTGATAAGCAGTCGATAAAATTACATTTCGATAAACCGTATCGATCCATTTTTCACTCATTGATTGACTATTCCAATCAAAATAAGTATTAATTGGTCGGATAAGATCAATTAAATCGGAACGCCATTGTTTATAAATATTAATATTTGAATAATTTGTTGTAAGCATTTGCTCAATATACTGAATACCTACCATAATACGTTCTCAAACAATATATCCTTGTTCTAATTTAGCATATCGAAAACAAGTGATAACCGTAGAATATCTATTAAAATTAAAATAAGAATTTTAAAGTTTTATTTTTTCAACGACAGTACAGACTTATTCTAGCTAAGTTGAATAGATCATCAACAAGACCTGCTCTTTCGATTATTGTGAAATTCTCATGACTGCTTTTAAGTTGTTCAATAGTCATTTGCCAATTTCGTATATCATAATTTGTACGAAAGAAACCTAACAGATTTGGATTAGCTAAAATCCATTCATTCGATTGTATACTTGTATCCATAGTTATGTTTATTTGTTTCTCATTGAGTTATGTAATACTTAATGATGATGATGATGATGATCATCATAAAGATTTGAATTGAAATGGAATATACCATTGATAGTTATCAGGAGAATTGGGTGGTTGCGCTTTAACATCAAATAAAAACTGATGTTGACTAATTAAAATCATATTTATTGAATAGGCACGTATTACTTCTACATAAGGATAACTTATCTGATCAATCCATGCATTCATTATACCACTAAGACTAGTATTTCTCGGTAACAAAATATTATCTGTAATCATTTGTTCATTTAAATTTTGCCAACGATCGGTTTTTTCTACTATTGAATAAAGATGATTTTTGAGATACTTTGAAATACCTTGATTAAATGTATCTTTAGTAATAAAATTCTACATCATACAAACTAATGAAGAATGTTTCAAATAAGTGAGTGAATTGTAAATATTGCTTAGTTGTTCATCATATGTTATTTGTCTCGTAATTGAAAGCGAAAATGAAATGACATCATCTTGCATAATGGGAAACTATTCTTGTGCAATATGTTGTTCATAAGAATCCCAATCAGGATGCACTTTATTTTTACTGAACCATCGATATGATAGCTAAGAAAAAACGAAAATATTTCTTCTTTTTTAGTTTTTTATTATTATTGAATATAGTTCATTGAATTATTTGAGAACAGACATATTTAGACAATGTTTTCCTACTAAAACTTCCACGCCAACAGCATCAAGTATTGGTAACCTCAATATTAGTACACTCTGTACTCATATCTAATCCTTTAAAAAACTAGTTTTTATCAAAAATCAAAAACTATTTTGCAAAAGACATAATCAAGTTTCTTCTTTTTCCTAATTATATGACATATAAAATTAAAATAAATATTTGGAGGAATATTGAGACTATCTAGATCTGATGCATATTTTCAGTCAAACTGCTTGTCTTTTTTCAAATAAAGAAAAACTTCTCATCATTTATACCTCGTGAGCTATAAAAAGTGCTAGATCTTGTTTGTTGAGCATTGTTGATGTAATATTATTATAGAGTAATCGTGATTCAATATACATAATACAACTAAAATTTTCCATCACACCTAAATCGAAAACCGTTATCGACTATGAAAATACGGTTTGATAGAATTTATCTACCATTAAAGAATTTTAGCAGAACAATATGGTCACATTTTGTCAATGGATAATTGATTTGATATTGTTTCTCAAAATTATTAACATTTTGTGTTGCTATTTCAAGTGCATAATATAAATCATTTTTTTATCTAGTTGTGCACATACATTTGTTGTGATATTTCCACGAAAACCTGTATTATTGCGAGTTAGGTATTCAAAATCCGCAACAATAAGAACTAATAAATATGAACTCATGGATACTGATTTTTGAAAATGAATCAATATTAATACATTGCTTAGGTTTACTTGATTTTCTATAGGTATATTACTTCATACGGATGTGGGTGTTTTCCTCCCTGCAGCCCCATACACCCACACCCCTACATTGATCACGAATTCATCCCAACTCGCGAGCTCGTGGACTGCTTATCCGGAGCAGTGAGCATGTTCATCGTTTAGCCACTTGCGCCAAAGATCCGAACTATCTCAAGTCCTAAACATTTTCGAGTTTAACATTTAAATATAACACTGACGAGATTTTCCAAGCCAATAAATACACCAATACTGACATCGCAAACGGTGCGTAAGATGGATGTAGGTGTGAGTGTTTCTCCTATACTCACCCTCACCCACATTCTCAGATCAGATATTTTGTTATTGTTGTCGTCATCACGTGAGTAAGATCGTTTGATCAAACGTTATATTAGTTACGTATTTAAAGTTTTATTTCATAGATTAAAAAAAAAAGTTCTATCGTGACATCCCACATGCTTCACAACGCATAGTATGCTTTTCAAGGGATGGAATGAACCAACCTTTGCAATTCGGCTTTGTGCATTTGAGTTCTTTTACTAAAGCCATAAAAGACTGATCAAGTTCTCCCTTTGACTCGCTGACACAACGTGCACATTCGCAATCAAAGAAATACTCATCTTTCAGTTGTTGTTTTCTTATTGTTTGATTTTTGATAATATCGTCAACATTAACTTGGTCTTGCATATAAAGGTCACATTTTCGTCCTCCATAGCTTATACATAGTTGTTCATCCTTCTTTAGAGAATGTGCTGCAAAGAACACAAGATCGCCCATCTGAAATTTCGTTCCATCTTCTTCAACCAGAAAACGATCGATGTTTGATGAGCAGGAGTGATTAAAGAAAGCAACAAATGGATACACTCCCAGAGCATACATTTGAGGTGCTTGAGAGTAGCCATCGAACGTAAAAGTATTATGAAAGAATCCGTTGACTTCTTCCACACAAATAAGGATGTACACTTTATGCATTAGATATTTTAATGTTTCAATAATGGTGGCATCATCGGAGAGTGAGCATAAACTAGTCATTTTGGCTAACCATCGATCAGAATCGATAATTTCGACTTCTTTAGCATCTGCACTATCTGGCAGGAAGGATTGAATGAAACTAATAAATTCATGTTTATCTTTGGTTAAATGAGGTATGAGTCGCGTTAATATATATTTCGTTAGCGTTTTGGCTACAGTTCCAAATTCATTTTTCTCTTTCTTTGAAAATTCATCGAAATGTGATAACATCATAAAAACATCTTCAAGTAAAATATTCTGTGGCTTGTCTAAGAGATCGTGTAATCGCTGAGTAAGCATGCGCATAACAAGTCGAGCATAATTAATAACATTTTCATTGTAATTATAATCTTGTAAGGCGCATATTTCATCGAGAAATGAACATTCGTACTGATGAAATTTGTCCCAATGCTGTCGTTCACATTTATCTGAACAGTAAAATACATGAAGACAACCTTGACGGCATGCGACCATCTCCCTCGCACGGGTTCGCTCTTTTGAAATATGCATACAGTTTGCACATACGTAATTCTTTTTCGCTATGGATGGAATGAGAGCATATGGTTTTGATACCAGTAGAATGTCGCCTTGTGAGACATCATGATTTGTAATCAAGCAGCGTCCTTTCTGTACTGTGCAGATAACACTCACTTTGCTTTCGGTCATGAATCGTTCTGACTAAAGAAAAAGTCAAATCAACAAAGTTCTTGAAAATTATATTTATGATGAGAGAAAAGAAAATGACTTTTTTTTTGTACTTTGTTCTTCTCTTCATTGCTGCAACAAGAGAACAGAACATGTGTGAGAAGCTTTATTTATGCCAGGAAAAAACTTTTCCTGTAACGAGACGAACAAAAAACGTCATCCAGTGAGTCTTCTAAAGATTTGAAACAAGAACTGAGAACTCATCCTACATTTCCTTGTGAACATTCTTTTTTCATTGAAAATTTTTAGTTTTATCAATTTAAAAAAAAATCAATGTTAAAAATATTAAATCACTCTAAAATGTTGACTTTTTAAACAAACACTTTTTTGAACAATAGCGAAAAATTCTCGAATACTTAAATACGGAATATTCATTGTCCTCGTCGAGACGTAACATTTTAGCGAGTTTTAGTAAAAAAAAATGGCTATAGAACTTATTTTCTTTTGATCATCGCCAGAAATCTTGCAAAACGGCTATAAATATTATTGAAAGATGTTATACGATGGACGAAAATTTCAAAAACTAAGAGAAATGCTCAATTGATTACAGACTTTCAAGCTTATATCAAAATCAAAACATCTCTGTTACGACATTATTCTCAATCCTTCTTTTGCTAGATTCGTTTTATAGTCATCATCATTCTCATCTTTAATTAGTGAACGAATTTCTTAAAAAAAGAATTTTGATGACAGTGAGTTCAAACAACTTCATTCGAAATAGATATTTAGGCCTATGTTTTCACATTATTCCGAATAAATTCACTTGAATTTACTATCACCTAAGTGTAACATAAAAACAGGGGCGGCGCGAGCGGGGGGGGGTTGGGGGAGGGTACCCCCCCCTGCTTTGGAAAGTTCGACTGCAGCTTTCTCCGATTTTGAGAAAAACTGTCCCAAAATTACTCCATTTTGGTAGAAAATGTCTTAAAATTTCTCCAGTCAATGAGAAAATGTCCCAAAATTGCTCTAATTTTGAAGAAAATGTCTCAAAATTTCTTCAATTTGGCAGAAAATATCTTAAAAATTCTCTAGTTGGTGAGAGGATATCTCAAAATTTCTTGAATTTTGCAGAAAATGTCTCAAAATTTTTCGAGTTGGTGAGAATACGTTCCAAAAACTTCTTCGATTTTGGAAAAAATGTCTCAAAACTTCTCCGATTTGAGAGAAAATGTCTTAAAATTTCCCCAACCAATGAGGAAATGTCTCAGACTTTCTTCAATTTGGGACAGAATGTCTTAAAATTCCTCAAATTTTGAAGAAAATGTCTCAAAACTTCTCCGATTTGAGAGAAAATGTCTTAAAATTTCACCAGTTAATGAGAGAATGTCCCAAAATTTCTTCAATTTTGGAAAAAATGTCTCAAAATTTCTCCAAGTTTGGAGAAAATGTCTGAAAAATTTTTCAACTTCCGAGAAGATATATTTTGAACTTCTTCCGGTTCTGAAGAACCTTTATTACAATGTTCTCCATTTTTTGTAATTGATAACAGAAGAATCTACCTATCTACTTGCTTTCAAAAACACTAGTAAAAAAAAGGTACTAGGTACTTACAATTTAGAGACTTTTTTCTATTTTCTCCCATTTTTCATAATACCCTCCCCCTGCTCTGAGCTCTTCGCGCCGCCCCTGCATAAAAATTCAGATATCGTACTGATATTGTATATGAATACATATAATCTGATGTAAAGTGATCAGAATATTGAAATAATAAGAAATGAAAGATTGATAGAGCAGAATAAAAACTTTACGTTACTGGTTGAATAGATCTTTATTTCAACACTAGTAGCTCTTTACACAATATAATCAAAGAAACATACTGTAACACTGTAATGTATAGAATAGTCTCTCTCTTCTTCTACAACTATTTTATGCCTATACTCTTTAACAACTGCTTTGTATTGCATCTATTCTCATTCATAGATATTTATTCACTGCATTTCTTCCGACTAAATGTACTCTCTTCATAAAAGGAAAAAGATTATGGAACATATACAAGAAGTAAACTATATAAAGACAGATACGAAAAGAATATCATGTTGCGTACAAAAGCACATAGATAACACTACAAACGATATTATCCTATATCGCGATACAAGAATATGGACTCTCTCTCTGTGAAATGATAAATCCCCGTCTACAAATGGAAGAGAAACTGTACTCTTCTATGTATATATTTCAAGAAAAGAAACAAAAGCATGCACATATATATGAGAAAGAAAAAGAAAAAAAAGAATATCATCAAAGATAATATTCGTTCTCGAACGACAAGAATAAAGCGAAGAGGCAAGAATACTATGTGAGCGAAGAATAGAAAAGAATGTGTCCAAAAGCGATGTACCGTGAAGAACAAAGAAGAAAGAGTAGCGAGGGCACTCGTCAACGATAATAAAGGATGACCCCAAAAAGGACATCATAATATATAGAGATACACTGTCGAGAGTGAAAATGGATATCATACTGTATAAGAATATAAGAATGATATTAAGATGGATGTATTTGTAGGTCTATCGATACAAACATCATCTTCAAAAGGAAGAAAAATCAAAAGAAGAGGACATACAAACATATGAACGAGAAAGTGATACTCATATTGGTATACTAAGCTCTTCTGAAACATTTTCTTCATTAATCACAGATAATAACTGCAAAACTACTTCCGTAGAAAAAGAAGAATTTGGAATAATGTAATCAATAGAATAGCTTTCATGGCTTTAGAAAAACGAAGGAACTAGTGCATTTATAAGTCTAGAATAACTTGTATTAAGCCAAATAAACGAACCTATGCTTTTGACATACTAATTGAATAAGCAATAACGAAAAACTTCGCTTCATTAGTTATAACATGTGATCAGAGCAATAGCTACATATACTTCATTCTGTTCTTCTCTCTTCTTATGTGTACAAGCTTCACTGACTTTTTTAAACTTATATTCATAAATCGTTCGTGTGTTGCATGCATGCCATCCAATATGATGGTAATCACTCAAGGTGAGCGACCACGTGAAGAAACATCATCACGCATTTTTGATTGATAATATCAGGCAAGGATGATAGAATTGATATCATATTAAACACCAAGATACTATTGCTTGAATCAATCAATTAGCAGTTTAAACTAACCAAGAGCAAAATGAATATAGAATGGAAATCAAATCTGGAATATATTACACGCTTTTCTTCGTTCCTTGGATTAAACGAACACAAAACTACTTCACCATGTGAAAGTCCTTAAGCAATCAGATTCAAACTTTATTAATATAAAGCTATAACGTTCGTTAACCAAAGTTTTTGCCAAAGCTAGTTTTGTACTTTTGGATAAGTGTATTCGGTACAAAATTTGATTTCCTGCTGAAAGATGTTGTTGACATCTTCTTGACGAACAGCGGATAATAGCAAGTTACTCATTTCATCCTTGATGTCATCATTGGATTTCATCGTAACTGTAAATGCATAGAAATGAAAAATGATGTTTTACCTTGCATTCATATTTACACGTGCCAGTTGTATTTCTTGAATTTTTCTTCTGTTCTTCTGCTTCCTTGAGCTATTTATGATGAATTATGGTGCATACAGAAGATAGACAACATTTTCATCAAAAATCGAACAATAAAAAAACAACTTCTTGCGTCAAGCTTTTCTTTTTTCAAAATATTTGATAGTCAAAATATACCTTGTAGGCAAAAACTAGTATGATTCGTTTACAAAATATCTGTACATCATTAGAAGCATATTGTTACGCAATTGTAATCGACAATCGTAAACATCTTCCTTTGTATGAGTAAAATATTCTCTGAATAGATTTTGTCATTGATTGATTTATTCGGTTCCTTCCGATTTAAAGCATTTTCAATAAATACCTGACCACATCGAAAAGAAATGTATGTTTATTGCATTAGGCACGCATTTTCTGCTGCGTTTGTAAATTTTGTTTTCATTTCTCACATTGAGAGAATGGTGATTTTTTTACCATTAATTGCATCTCATTTTATTTGCTTTCACTCATGTCTATGACAAGAGTTTAAGTTACAGAAATGATGGCGCACATTGTTAATAAAAATCTCCCTCACAGATACACTTACTGATAAAATGATTTCTTTATTTTTCAGATCATCTATATTATGTCGCGCTGTTTTCTGGATGATTTTCCCGTTGAAATTTTGTACATATTATTCAACTACTTTTGGGCTCATGAACTGTTGGTCACATTTGGAAAAGTGAGTTTCTATCTCGATGGTATATTGAATATTTATCCATATTATCGAATAAATTTTAAATCAATTATGAAAAATCATTTTGATCTTGTTTATCGTCGTATTCAACCAGGTCAAATTATTTCTTTAATAATATCCGACGGTGAAGATACATCCAGTCAACTAAAACTTTTTCTTTCTCGCTTTCAAATCGAACGGTTCACTCGGCTTCAATCACTTATATTAATCGATATTGAATCTAGTTCATGGAATAGTCTCAGTTCATCTTTTTACAAACTCAATCGATTCTTCTCATGCAATTTCATCGTTAGACCATCGCTGTCTACAACAATTGAATCGACTGAAACTGAACAGTGCCAATCAGATGAACCTAGTAAAAATGCCTCATCTTCACTATTTAAAACTCGGCCAATATTCAACGGACGAACTCTCAGCTATCGATTGGGTCGCACCAAAACTCCGTCCACTTGATCTTTGTTTCAGTTATCATCACTCCAATATCGAATCTTTCTTTATTCTACCACATCACACTCGACTTGCACTACAATTTGATGGTGAGTATGATTTATTGCATATAGTGATCATTGAATAAGTACTACGATTGTCTCTTGCCTTGAATTCTTTTGATTTATAAGATACATATGAAAAAATCTCTCAATTCTGGATATTCTTCTTGTTTTACAAATGGATCATTATCGAGTCGATGGGTGTCGATTGAAACATTTGAAAAACTCCTATCAAACTTAACCCGTTTGTTCGATCTTGAATTGCACGTTCAAGGTCAAGGCGATCTTGTTGATGGATATCGGTGGCAAATGTTAACCGAACATCTGGTCACGTTTTATTTGAATTTCAAAGTCGATTTCGACTTTGTGACACAATCTCTCGATTCATTTCGCACGCCATTTTGGCTTCAAGAAAAATCTTGGTTTGTAGCTTATAACAATGGACGACTCTTTTCAGTTCCTCGCTTTGTCGATGCGCAAGCTAATAATCATTTTTAACAACCGATCTGTTGGACTACACCGGATACGAGAATTTTCTACGATAGTATCAGACAACTTACTCTATTCTCGGATAAAATTAACAATAGCCATCGTTTTACTAATGTACAAACGTTGCAATTAAATGAATTTATCAGTCTCGAAACACTGTCTGTAGCTGTCGATTTGAGTCGAGTGCAACATTTAATTGTATCTAGATTAGACAATAGATCGATAGTTCCACATTTACAAGCACTATCAAAACTTCATCATCTATCGATTATAGGCGATTTATCGACATTTCTTGAGCAGGCATAAGGCATGCAATTGGATCAAATTCGAACACTTGAAATCAATGCTACTTTCGAGAGTAACAGTAGCTATACAGTTAGAGAATTTTGCCATTGCTTTCCGTATGTAAAACGCTTACGTGTATCGTCCGTATGTATAGCTGCAGTAATTTCATTGATCAATGGCTTTCAACATTTGACTTCAACATCATTTCAGTACGGGTCTTTTGCTATAAATGGTAATGAAACATTGAACTGGTCTTTAAAGTCCACTTTAGCTGTTGAGAAATCGCGACGATCAATGTTTAGTACATATACTTGTCGATTCGATCGTCAATCGCAATGTTTGCATGTGTGGATCGGAAAAGATGACTTAAGATCTACTCAAGTCTTTTCTATAATAGAACATCTTTTTGTGTCTCCGATGATGGAATTATATTTGTATTCATTACAATACATTTCAAAGAATGGTCTTATGTTTTTCTGCTTTTATATGTATTTCAACAGTCTGATGTTTGATATTATCTTTCATGGAATTTCATCTGGATTATACTCTAGGATGATTTTCTACATAATTCTCTTAACAATTGTACGTTTCATAAAAGACAAGCAGAACTTCACTTTTTGTTGCATCGTCTACAGTCTAATTTACATAATACAATCCATCTTTTCCGATTACCATGCTCATATCTATACTGATATGTTTTTATGGCTGATTCTTTTATTAATTGGATTATTTATGAAATAAACCTTGGTGACGTTATTCAATGATCAGACTATTTTGACCACAACTAATTTGATTTACTCTTATTTTATATTCTTCATATATGATATCGATCTTAAGAATAAAACCATAGAAAATGCAAAGTAATCATAATGACTCAGCTAAAATCAAATAGAAAGTTTGATAAAACATGTCTATCGCTCGAATAAATGTCGGCGAAAGAATCTGAATTTCTTTGAAAAATGATTATTACATTGTTTTTCAGTCTATATTACTTGTAAATTAGATTCATGCACTAGCAATCATAAGCGAGAGAAAATATTCCTGAACAATATCAAAAGAGAGAACGTTTGGAAAATATCTGAGTGAAGGAAAGATAAGATATATTGTGTATGAGACAGTCTATGTAAGCCACGACCGAAGCTGCTCAAATGAAGCCTTCAGACTTTGCTCAATATAGTATATTTTTATAGAGGGAGGAGTTTTATAAACTTTGATGCAAACTGCTTTGAAAAATATTGAACTGTTGATTTCTTATGGCTTTTTTACGAAAAGTACTAAAAATCAGCATTTTGATCAAAGGAGTCCTGATAGGGCCATATCTCAAGAAGGGCGTGACCTATTGAACTGAAATTTTTTATAGACATATATCTTTAGGAGTTATGGCAAACATATAAATTTCAGTTCAAGATATAGAGTGCTTATTGTTTTATGATTCATCCAAGATGAGAAAAATTCACATTTTAGGCAACTTGAGGGTGCGGGTGGGAAGCGACAATACCCACACCCACACTCTCAACTTATAGTGTATCAAACAAGTTGCTTGCTCACTTTAAATTATTTTCATTTTGCTCAGTCCAATTCAGTTGAATTTAAAATTTGCAGTTAAAAAGTATTTCAAAGCATTATTTTATTAAGCGAAAAAAGAACATCTTCTCTTTACTAGTGACATAAAACAAGAACAAATTTTTTCAGAAACTGTTATCAATCTTTTTGTTGTTTCTTGACATAATGAGGAACAGCAGATATGCCAGTTACTTTGCGGAGAAACCAATCAACTGTCGAAGCTGGTAGGCAAGATAGTGGAAAGAAAAAATTCGATTGCCATCCAGGTCGATAGCGAATATTTGGAGACGTATTCATGACAGCATGTTCAAGAACTCGAACAACTTTCATCGGATCTTCAGCAAGTTTCACGAACAGGCTATTTTTTTCAGCATCTAATCTATTTTTGAGGAAATCTTCTCCCCATCGTTCTTGAGCCTCGCTTGTAATCGTACTCGAAATTTCTTGAAATGATTTTAGACCTTTCAGAATTGGTGTCTGCATAAATCCTGGCTCAACAGCACTAACACGTAACCCCCATGGAAACATTTCACGACGAAGACAATCAGAAAACGATTCCATCGCATATTTCGATGCAGAATAAGCTGACATATTCGATAATGATAAAAATCCGGCAGCAGAACAAATGTTAACGACGCGTGAGTCACATTTTGCGATAAGTAATGGTAGAAATTTCTTTGTCATTGCAACATGTCCAAAATAATTCACATCCATCACTCTACGCATAACGTCCATTGATGTCCAATCAATATAAGCTCCAAGAAAGATTCCAGCATTGTTAACAAGTCCATAATACAGGAGTTTTTTCTTTCACTAGTTTAAATGCAGCATCGATATCTTCTTGTTTAGTTATATCAAGATGAAAAACAGTCGCATTTGATGAAAGTTTATTTTGCAGCGAAATTACGTTATTCGGAACGAAGACACCAGCGAAAACATGAAAACCTTTTTTATCAAGTTCAATAGCTAGTTCATGTCCAAAACCAGAATCACAACCACTGATGAGAACATATTTTCCACGGGGATCGATATTTGGTGTAGGAAAAAAATGTTGATATAAACGATAGGCAATGTATGATAAGATGAGAAGGCCCAAAACCACGCACATGATAACACTATGAAAAGAAACAGAATGCCACTAAGTGTTTTTATTCTTCTTTACTATTCAGAAATAATATCTTCCAATGACACAATGCTAAGATAAAAAGAGAAGCACATGCAAC